CATTTAAAAACACAACCAAAAAAAAAAAAAAAAAAAAATGTAAATCCTCACGAAAACTCACCTCTTCTGGCCTGCCTCAACGAGCTTTATTTTTCTGCCATTGATCTCCTTACCAGACAGTTTCTCAAGAGCATTTTTGAGGTCGCTGTGAGAGGCAAACTCAACCACTCTGGAAAGATAATTCAGGACATTTTCTCGGTAAATTGACACCAAGCAGAGGAAAACACACAAGATGACTACGACTCACCCTTCGTTGAGCTTAGGTCGATGTGCATCTGCAAATGTGACCTCACCAGCTTGCCTCATGAAATCTTTTAGGTCCTACACATGCAAAGGGTGTTTAATGCAGGGAGAGACTCGGGACAGGCAATCAATCTCACACATGTGATAGGACTGAATTGGTCAATCGGATAGGTGGTTAGATTGTAACTACTGAGGCTACATGAGGGCGTCAAGAACCTCAAACCTATCAACCGAACGCGTCTTCAAGACGACAGCTTTTGGGATCAAAACACAACCTTGTTAAGTTTAGGATGGGCCAATTTTGTTGCAGGTTTGAGATTCTTGGGTCTCCCTCTAATATAACTACAGAGACATGAACACCATCTGCATGAATTAAACTGCAGTGGCGCCACTTGGGCAGAATTTGGCGCAACGAGCCCTGTTTTGTCAGGGCTTCGCACCGGGACCGCCCCTGCCTCGGGACCCCGCCTCAGCAAAGAGAGTGAACAGGGTGGAAGAGAGGAAACTACTACCTGAGAGCGAAACCCTTTGGGGTAACAGCAGATTATATCCACAGGCACCGGGGGAGGCATTCACACGCTCTCGCTCTCTCTCTCGCGATGTGCGGGAACACCAGAGTGGGGAGGTGAGGGGGGATATCGATCGATCGATCGAAGCCCCTCAATTTAACGAACCATCGATCAACGCGGCCATCGACTCGCGCTCTCTCCTCTGCTCTGTCAACTCCCTGTTTCCTCTCCCACCGCCTGGCGCCCCCTGCCTTGGACAGAGGGCGTTGCGAGTGAGCGCAGGGGGCCGCCAGCGCTTCCCCCGAGTGAGGAGCCAGCGCTCACATGACCAGCAGGCTTCAACTAGTAGGAGTAGGACAGACTGGCTGACACCACAGGCTCAACCCAGACAGAAGGACCCAGAAGGGGTTAACTCCACCATAAGCGAGCTCTTCCACATGACACAACAGTCAGGCTGGCAAATAAAGGGGTGAAGAATTGGTTAAAATTGGAACACAAGAACAGATTACTTTTTATTTTGAGTTACAATCTCATTAGTTCTAAAATAGATCTTCAACATCATAAAATGTTACGTTAAGTCTAACTGCACAACCAAATTTAGGCAAAGCTACAGTATTTTGAGCAGAAATTCTACATTTACGGTACAGAAATTATTAGGAAGGCCTAATCATGTTTTCATTGCATTTTTGGTGAATAAGATACTCGCTGAATTAAAAAAAAAGAACTTGTGCAAATACTGACCTGCCAGCTGACACGGGAGGACAAGTTCTCCACAATCAGACGGTTCTCAGTACGCATCGGAGGCGGGTTTCGACTGAAAAGAAAGATGAAAATTGCAATCAAAAGTTTCTCGTTCCATGAAGAAATGTGAACACGTGATACCTCCGATTGTTCTGAGCGCCTCGACCGTAACGATCTGGGAAGCGGCTTCCTCCACTGCCACCGCCGCCACCTCCTCTGCCTCCTCGGCTGGCATGTAGACGTCCACGAGCGTGCTCTATGGTCACTCTGACATCACAGACAACAAAAACACTGTGTTGCATCATTTAAGTTGTGTTGGTGTGGATTACATTTTGTTACTTTAGTTCACTTCATGAGAGAACAGAGGGACTTAGTGACACAAAAGTTCAAAATGTATTGTAAAACATTTTCTTAATATGGCCTCAATGTAACTTGTCAACTGCAGGTGGATCTGGTACGTATCCTACGGGATAAACTGGGGATCATTGTATACAGAAATGTCATGTTGCTCAACCAAACTAACACCACAGGCATTCCATATATGTAGCCCACGAGCCAGAATTTTCCCACACTCGATTAGATTGTACACAGCGGCCATTGCCGAGAGCAAAGGAAGTTGCTTACCTTTCATTACACAGTTCTTTTCCATCAAGGTCATACACAGCATCTTCAGCATCTCTGGGATCCTCAAACTCCTGAATTAAATAAAGTGCAAAGCATTCTGATGAAGACTGTTCCGAGTTTGTCTTTGCTGTCATGTCAGGTGAGAGATGTTTTTACTTTCAGAGAATGAATGGAAAGCTATAAGTCACACCACAGCATATCCTGCCAATGCTTGTTTATCTTGGAAATAGTTTAGTACCACAATCGTCGTCTTGAAAAAGCTCTCATTAAAACAAGTGAGAAAGACAAAGAAGCACAGCACAGATGTTTCCGACCCGTTTAGCAGATTTCCTTTACCGAGAAGCCATTATGACCATTTAATGCTTGTTTGGCAAAAGTTTAGGAAGTTCGATCCCCGGCTATTGGGACCAAGTCGAAGTGTCCTTGAGCAAGATACTGAACTCCCGGTTGCTCCTGATGCTGCGTCATCAGTAGATGAACGTGGTAAACAGTGTCAAGTACCCGACGTAGAAAAAACCTTATATGACAGCCCAGTTACCATTTAAAACATGTTCGTTGTTAAAATCCTTCCCGATTTCTTTCTCACCACAAATCCAAAGCCCCTCTTCAGGTCGATGTCTCGGATGCGTCCGTATCCTTTGAAGAATTTCTCCACATCTTTCTCCCTGGCCGAGGGGCTTAGTCGGCCGATGAATATGCGAGATCCACTCATTTTCAGAACGGGGGTCCTTTCTATTAACAAACGAGCATAATGTACACGACAAATGTATGTTATCGTTCAGCACACGAGCTAGCGCGGCCTTGTTAGCATCTAAAAACAGACCAAGCAAATCAGTGACAGCGAGTAAAGGACGTGATGATGAACTATGCGTGACATTTCAACCATAAACAACGAATATTTGAGATAAATATAGTTTCTATGAATACCTTGACGGAGCGTTTGGAGGACTGTAAAGGGTGCCTGGCAACAGAGACGGTGTCAAACACAGAAGACAAAACAAAATGGAACTGGCGTATATAGACGGTATGACGCCGGAAAAGGCCGGAAAAAGCCGAAGTCCCGAAATGGGCTTTGTTTCGTTTGTTTTTATTTTTGAGTCATTTCACACAAACACCACGAGGTGTCCTTCCCTTACAATTAATGAAACGACGACAGCATTTAAATACAATTTCAAACAGTGAAATGACTTTGGACCTAGGGCACTAGGTTATTCTTTGTGAAAAGAAGTGAGGTGGTAGGAGCTCAAAATGATTATAACTGACCTAAACGAATAATTTATCACACCATTTGAAATAAATACAACATCAGTGACTGATCATTGCCATGAAGGCTAATGGCTGCCCGAGAGCACCTGTTCAAAAAGAGTAATAAAATTATTTATTTTGGTTTCAAGTATCACTGACTATCGTGGTTAGGACGTCTGGTTCCGTTGAAGTTCGGCGTTGGTCTTATGCTGCAGAGGTCAATCGAAGACCCTAAATTGTACATAGCTGTGAACAATTGTTAAACTGAACATGCCCTACATTTGACTGCCGCTCCAGGGTGTGTCTTAATAGTGCTCTAGAAAAGGGATGGGCGTATTTCTGATTTCTAGGTATTATTTTTACAGTGCACGGCCAATTCGACCAATAACAATAAAAATGACAGGTAATCAACTTGCTTGCCGGCTTACAAAAGTCTTACAGTAAGTTTAATAAATGAAACATCATTCACATTCAAAAGAAAGCTTTAATTAGAAAGTTATATACACACTGTAAAATTAAATTAAACTTTGTACAAATATTAAATTAATATTCTCACACCCGCTGCCATGTACAGGGGAAGATCAGAAGCCGAAAGCATTCAAACCAAGAAAGAAAGTGAAACGTAGGTTATTTTCAGGTACGAGACACTGTACAACAGTGCCTCTGAAGACAACGTTAAGTTGCCTTTGTTTTGTTTTTTAAACTTTAACCCCATAATAGTTTCCGCCAGGTAGTAAAGAGAAGCAATTATGAAACACGGAGGCGCATAAAAATCATCAGTGTCATCATCACAGTAGCTGGAAAGCAAGGTAAGGACAGAAAAGGATGGACATTAATGTATTTTTTTTTGATGATAAAATAAACAGTGACAAATAAAGACAATAGTATGCATAGAATAGAAAAGAATAAGGCCTTTGGGAAAACAGAAAATGTTGCAATAGTGAAAAAGCAACCACCTAAGCAGAAGCTTAAGCGAATACATGAAAAAATAAACGTACAAGTCTAAAGCAACATTCTGTTAGCAATAATAATGAAAAGCCAAAATAGATCAGAAAAATCACATCGGGTTTGATATTTTTTGGGGGTGGCGGGGTCATGCTGTGTTCATGGTGGAAAGCTCAACCACAAAAAACACCAACTGACAAATAGACAGAGGATGACAAAACGCATGATTTTTAAATATGCTCTTCGCTTTAGGAGTTTATGGAGGCCAGGGTATACAAAACATAATTATTTCATTTGTTATTTCACTGCAACCAGTTGCAGTTATGTCAATAATGCACAAATGTGGTATTTTCATCTCCGTGTGATGGTTGGTGCAAAGCCGTTCCTCTAGGGCAGTGGTTCTTAACCATGTTAGAGGTGCTGAACCCAACCAGTTCATATGCAGATTAATCGAACCCTTCATTAAAGAAAAATAAAAATATGATTTTTTTAATGAATTCAACACGTAAAAAACGCATTTATTAAAAACTGAAAAAAGTAAATGAAATTTCTAGACATAAGTATGTATTTTTTAAATGGCGCACAAAATGAACCGTGCATGACGTACGATCACGTCAGTCACACTTTGAACTAAATTTCCCGCAGCACTGATTGGATAAGCAATGTAATGTGATCATCTGCAGCCAATAATGACCAGGCGGGTGTGTCATAACTACCGCATTTTCCACACTATAGGGCGCACCAAAAAGTCTTCAATTTTCTTAAAAGCTCGCCGAGCGCCTTAAAATCCGGTGCGTCTTTTGTATGGTCATTACGGTAATATGTCGACTCCAAGGTTGCTCCTTCCTGGAGACATGCTTCCAATGTTATAACTTGCTGCTGGTTCAGTGAACTGCGTCGCTGATTTATTAAATAAGTTTGTGTTGCAGCTCCGAAAAAAGGAGAGCTGTGGTGTTAATTTTTTTTAAAACAGTCTCAACAAATACAGGTACGTCTTTGTCTGTCTCCGTGCCTTCTTCCGTTCGACTCGAGAGACGTTCAAGACCGCCTCCGAAAAAACGTAAACTAACGATTACTTCAATGAAACTACAAAAATTGAAAAGAATACATCAAAACTGAAAAGCAAGCGAGGATATCACAAAATAAATTCTATAGCCCCCCCCTACAGAATTTATATTGTGATTTCATCATTTGTGAATACACAACAAAGGTTATTTTATCTTATCTGATTGTACTCTTGGAGCTACGATAAGGAAATGCCGTTGGGTTTTTCTGAGGCGGGCACGCAAGGGAAGGAGTCAGACAAAGACACACCTGAGTTTGTTGAAAAAAATGAGAGCTGTGGTCGTGGTTTTATTATTTTTTTTAAACGCAGACTTTATTAATGGTTTTCACAGTCTCAGCAAGTACAGGTGTACGTCTTTTCTGTCTCCGTGCTTTCTTCCGTTCCACTCGAGAGGCGTTCATCGCCACCTACGAAAAACGTAAATTATTCTTTCTTCAATAACACCACGAAGAAAATCAAGCGAGGAAATCACAAAATAAATTCTGTAGAGGGGATATAGACTTTATTTTGTGATTTCCTCGCTTGATTTTCTGTTTAGATGCATTCAATTTTCGTAGTTTCATTTAAGTACAGTAATAGTTAATTTACATTTTTCAGAGGCGGTCATTGAACGCCTCTCAAGTTGAACGGACGCCTCTCGAGTTGAATGGAATGAGCGTACCACCATCTAGTGGACGCTTTGTAGATTGCGCCTTTTAACACGAAGCATCTAATGTATGAAAAAAATTTACAAAATAGCCATTCATTGAAGGTGCGCCTCATAATAGAGTGCGTCTTTTCGTGCGGAAAATAGGGTAATTGACATGTTGAGTCGGGTGTGTCTTAACCTCCATGGCAGAGGCTCCGTCGAACCCCTGAGAACGATTAACCGAACGCCTAGGGTTCGATGGAACCCAGGTTAAGAACCACTGCTCTAGGGAGATGCCAGTCAGCAGAAATAAGACACACATGCGTGTCCTGGATTCATTTCATGTACAATTTATGTTTTAATGTTTCCTTGTAACGTTTGGTCAAGTAACACGGAATACAGTATAGCCTCTAATATAAGAAGGGGCTGATCGGAAACGGCTGTTACGCGGCGCACTTATATTGAGGACGTGCCCTCTCCTGCTTCACGCATAAAGATGCAGACAGACACGCGCACACAAAATCAGACTCATCATTGCAAAACCAACTGAGCCACACGTCAAACAATAAATACAGAAGGAAGGGGCATTTTGTTGGAGCTAATTTGAAGTTTAGTCATGACCAATCAGCCTGATGGACAGCCCCTTCCTCAACTGCTATAAACCGGGATATTTCATCTCACTTCGAGTCTGATGGAACGTCGAAAGAAAGCTCTCTTCCAGGTTCTAGAAGCAGGTCTCCACGCTGCTTTCAACTCATCCCAACTGATCCCATTCACCCATATGCTGGATGTTGCCTGGATACAGAGATAGCTAGCGAGAGAGTGAGAGAGATACATACAGAGGAGGCTTCATGCTTAATTCAGAGTGGGCCATGGCGCAGTGACAGCCATCCCTAGAAACAAACATGCAGCATTCACAAAGAGGGCCACAACACACCCAACTGTCACTCACAACTCTTCAAGTACAGCGGGAAGACAATTCGGAACAATATAGGGCCGGGAACAAAGTTCAGAATTTTTCCTGTTTTAAATCTATCGATTGCTATGATGTTTTTTGATGGTGCCTCTGTCAACTACAATTTACAGATTGCAACCAGAAAGGAGGCGAGTGTGTGGTAATACGTCGCCCATAGCATACAGCCTTGACTCATTAGGTACGTTTGAATCATATACAAAGCCTGCCAAGGATTTTTAATGACGTGGCGCCGCTTTATCACGTCTCGAGTTTGCTCCTTTGGGCGTTCCATCACTGCCTGTGCTGCAGTGTGTACTGGCTGATGGCTTTGTTCTGCGTCTGTAGCGATGGCAGAAGAGGTTGAGCGGGGCATAGTTTGAAGTCTCTTCTGGCCTGTGAGGCGTGTTTGGGGAAGTGGGGTTGACAGACACACTCGGTCCTGGTCAGCAGAGAGAGACGGGAGACTGCTGCCAGCACGCTGGTAGGCTTCATGCTTCCTTCAGCAAAGGAATATCTGCAGGGAGATGGGACACAATATTGGAAGTGAGCAGGGATTCAGCAGTTAACTATCAATGCATCGCTACTAGATGCAGCGAAAATAAGATTAAGAGGAAGCGGCAGAAAAGGTCCTCTGCTAATTTGCAGTCGTAGTTGTTGCCTCAAAAGACAGAAAATATAACTGTGAGTAATGTGCTGTGTCGTTTTTGTGTTTAAGCTAGAAGACTTTTGTTGGTAGGTGGTTCAGTTTAACATTTTGGTCTTTAAATATGCAGTGTTTAACTTTCTTTTGTTCTGCTTCAGTTCTACAACAAATTTCACATGGGAATGAGAAATAAACAGCTTGAAGCAAGCCCACCATGCCTCTTATTTGGTGAATGTGAGCAAGAGAATCTTCATTTGCTATGTACAAAAGTCCATGGAATACTTTTTCAAAATTTTGTTTTAAGATGTTTGTGCATAACATATGTTTTGAACAATTTTTATATGCTCTCTCCTTATAGTGGTATGGATCTGAAACCAATCCAGTGCATTAAACGGGTTATTTGGAGAAGTTTTATCCTACCATTACCAACAGTTGTGGTTTTTGGACCACCATCGCAGTGGTAAGGGTGGCGCAGGATACAAGCAGATCAGATTGGACAGACACAGCATGAAAAGAATGTAAACGACAAAAAAGCGCTAGTTTTCAAAACAGCCGACTACCACAGAGAGGACTGATTTATGTTTCCTTTTCTGGATATGGCAGTTATTGTGTTGACACTCTTTTTTTGTTGCATGCATGGTGTGTTTCATTGTCTTCCAGTTGTGCGCCCTTTTTTACTGTACGCTACTTGAGCTCAGCTCCACTCGCCTTGTTTTGGGGTTATTGGTTTGCAAATGAAAAAAAAAAAAAAAAAACAAAACGGTAGAATAGCAAAGGTCAAAAACTAGGCAGCGCCTACTGGATTTACATCTCTGTATGTGGCTGCGGAAAGTCAGGATTTGAATCTCATTTGAGGAGACTGACTCAGACTGGAACATTCGTAATTGATTTAAAAAAAATTGAGGTAGGTTTCTCATTACTGTTTGCTGTCAAAATGTGTAGTAAGCATTTCTGACACTGGCAACACAGCTTACCATCAGAAAAGTCATCTGTAGAGGTGACAGAGAGCAGACTGTGCTGGTCGCTGCTCTCAGAGTCTCTACGGAGAGGTAGCGGGGCTGCGCACGCACCCCCAGGGTGCTCTCTAGCCCACGATGATGAGGAAGAGGAAGGTGCCTGATGAACAAGCGCCGTCTCTGCATGATGGTGGGAGGGGAATGAGGAAGAGGTGGATGGGAAACAGAAGTCTAAGTCTCTGTGGTGATGGGTTTCGCTGGGGTCTTGGCCTCCCGTGGCCCCCTGCGGGAGACCCTCAGAGAGAACGATAGGGACTCTGGATTCGGGAGGAGCTGGAGGAGGTGGTGCAGGAGGAGGAGGGCCCGAAGCATTTCCATACACAGCTTCTTCATAAGACGGCAGTGCCACCTGAACCCCCTCAACCATGATGGAACCAGATTGGCCTGAGATTCCTTGCTCCCTCCTGACGGGCAGACGGACAAAGAGAGTGAACCAGGCAGAGAGGCAAGCCAGACACAGCATCACAAAAGCAGGGTCAGGTGGAAAGGTACTGCGCAGTCACGTGTGTTGCATACCACAGAAGTGGGTGGAGGCGATTAGCCGTGACTGTACAATCCCTTTATCTTTGCAGACTGCACTCGGCTCTCGGTCTCTCTTGTTTCACAACGAACAACTGTGCTATTGAGCACTGGATCAAATTACGGTGGCCTTTAATCATTAAAGTCACAGATGAGACAAATACGCTGCCCACATTTTACTTTCTTTGGGATTTCAGGAATGGTGCCAATAAAGTAGGTCGATTTTCATCCACGTGTTTCAACAAGGACAGACCTGCTGTGTCACTGTGTGGCGACGTAGGCACTTTACAAGAAGCGGTGTCGAAGTGCAGTCAGCGGACCTCTAAAACAACTAAAGCTTTGCTGCTTCGAGGTGGGAACTTGCCAATTAAAAAAAGAGAACGCTCTTAAACTCTTGAAAGACGAAACGAGAGTGAGTCGCAGAGTCATGTTGAGGGACCAAAATGGATGGGCAATGTGACCCCGAATGATGATGACGCTTTATTTAGCAGTTTTATTGTAGCAATCTGCTGGATGAGGACAGCTTTACTGGCAACGGATTCGCAGTCAGGTCCATTCATGCGAGCAACGCTAGAGAGTCAGACTGAAGTTGTTGGCAGTGTTTTTCTTTGGTATGTTGCTGGCTTCATCTCGGATCTATTTGAGCAGTGCTTATCGTGAATGTGAAGCATGTTTCACGCTTTGACTTGGTTGTCACATAGCCGTAATGTGTAAATCTGCGTCAGTTGCCGTCACTGCCGTTTTATGCGCGTGTTAAAACCTGCAAATAAATCATGACTGTAAAAATGAGTTACTGATATACCAGCAACACGAATAATCTCTGGTATCACAGTGGGACTTCCTTTTATCTGAGTTCTCTTTTTAAATTTTTAAATGACGATTATGACAATGTGTAAAGGCTAAAAATACGTGAATATGGTGTCCATCTTACCTGCTGTGATGGAACGACTTAAGTTTGGGCTGCACGAGCACAAACAGCACAACTAGAAGCAGGATGAGTGCCACCGAGCTAGCAGTGGACGCCGCGATAGACAGCGCTGGTATGCCGAGTGGAGAGCTTGGCTCCTTGTCTGTGGGATGAAAAAGGATCGAGAGGAAATGTCGCACAAATACTGGATGGCCCAAAATCAAAAAAAGCTAATTTCGGTGACAAACCTTGGGTGAGTCGGCAACTGATCTGCATGGGACGATCCCACTCGCCATTCTCACAGGTGAGAAACTTGTAGACTGTTTTCAGAGCGTAGCCCTCGTCGCAGAAGTACTCGATGACAGTCTTGTGGGTGAGGCGGTGGCAGCCAGGAGGGTGACACCGGTAGCCACCATTCTCCGGTTCAGTGGGGGGCAAGCACACTGGAGACGAAAGTGGACGCTCATTTTCATGACCATCAACCACTGTGAAAGAAATCTGAGTCGAGTGCAGTCTGGCTAAATTGTCCTGCTCTCAAGGACAAGCGTACCCCCATTCCCGTTGCGATACTCGGCACAATATACAATTTTTTTTTTTTTAAAGAATTGCTACGCATGTTATGTGTTTGCAGTACACATCGGATGACTTCAGATTAATCAATGATGTCAGCGATGCGTCCATGTTGCGCCCAGCGGTTAAGTCGATGCATCTATTAATCAGCTAATCCGTTCAATCCCCATTGCGCTCTGAGCTGATAAATATATAATGTAGTAAAAACCTATTGCCACTGTATGGAGAAAAAAAATACATCTAGACAATAGCAGAGGTCTGAATCTATTTCAGGTATAAATAGATAATATCCCGCTCTCTGTACAGCATGTGGCAACTATCTATTAAGGCCAAGACACTTTAAAACGCCGCCCTTTGGAGACCAAGGTTAGGGCTTCAACTTGTTTTGCTTTATTGAGTTGTTATCATTATCACATTATAGCCTTTATTGCGCGTGGGTGGAGGCAGATATGGTCTGTGCAAAACAGTTTGACACCAAACCGGTCAATGGTTCAAAAAAGGTTGGCGACCGATGCGCTTCAGTGGAGTACAAACTGCGGCCTGGCTTCCAGAAAGAATTTCCATGAAAACCAAGCTGTCCTGACCCCTCACCATTGCTTTGAATGCAGCGCGGTGTTTGACTGAACCAGGATCCAGAACTGTCACAAATGATGCTGGTAGGTCCATCTGCGATGTATCCGGGCTCACAGCCATAGGTCAAAACAGTGCCCACGGGAAAGGAGTCCCTGTTAGCCTCAGTTTGGTTCACCAAGTCTCCGTGCTGCACGGCAGGCGGCTGCGCACAACCTACACGAAAACAAAAACACGACAGGAATTGGAATGAGATGACCGCCACTGAGCCGAAAAGACCATCACAATGGTTGACGTTTGCATGACGAGGACTGATGATCACCGAAATTCCCTTGATGCATTTAGCTCTGACGCAACACATTCAGGCATCTTCAGTCATGAGATTTTACGTTCCACTTCCGTGTGAGTTGGAATTTGAAAACAATTTGAAAAATGTAGAGTGTATACCCATCTTCTCGTCAACCAAACCAAGTACAAACAAGTTTTTCTCCTTCTGACTTGAAAGGATTTGGGTGTGCTGGTGAGTCTTATTAGACTGCCGCATGAATGTGAATGTAGCGAGTACTCCGTTAGACTGAATGTCTGCTGGTCCGTGCGGGTTGCCGCCGATGGGTCAAACAGCTTTTCACAGGGAAACTCAGTCAAGCTGACAGGTGGAAAAGATAATTACAGCTCGAGGGAATTGTTCCCTGACTCTTCGATGCATTTGAGGCCACAAAAGGGAGAGGCACTGTATCAAAATGGCAGGTTCGGTGGAGACCGCCCCTGCTGCGTGCTATCGCGACCTCAAGTGCGTTGAATGGACTCGCATGTGACAAGGAGCGCCATATTGTTTCACTTGATGAATCGTGCATTAAACTGTATTTGCTCCACTGCGGCCTAAGACAATATCTTCGATGTTGTGTGGCGGCTCTGAGACTCTGTGCCTGCCAGTGAGCACAAAAACACACAGACACACTCGCTGCCCAGTCGAGCCGGTCTGACTTGATGTCCAAGCATCTGTGTCAATGACATAAGAGCATGGGTTTACTTTCGTTATTACTCAAGCGAAAGTGCTTGACGTTCACTTGAGTTGCATTGTGAACGGTCTCTAACTTTTGTGGGAGGAGAATACACAAGCAGCTGGTGAAATACTTTGAGAAAAGATTTCTGTAATAAATAAAAACACCTTCATTTGAGACCGGTGATCTCATAATACGTTTTATGGATAAACAGAAACATTGCAAACAACCGTTTATCTTGCTGGGGGTGTTTACAACTCAAAGGCACAATTACCAGAACAAGTCATCCTACTTCCTGTAATCTTCGAGGAAAAACTGGACTCTTAACTGGCAGCGTCGAATTGTAAGCAAACACACGAAATGCAGCGTGTATTTCCTGAATCCAACGAGGGCTCATTTTGCTATCTTTGTATACCTAAAATAAAGTGGACCAAAACAAGATATCATCTGCTTGCACATGCGCTGTGCGCACCGACCACCGTAGACAAACAAGTTCTAAGCTTCAAACATAACTCGATTACTTGTAGAGCATGTTGTGATTTGTGGGCCGTAAACAGTTCTCAGTCAAGTCCTCGCCACTCTGGCCTGTGTCACCGGAGGCTGTAATGCTTAAACGCTGAGCGAGAAGGAAATCGAGAGCGTGTTAATGGGATAAGGAAAGGTGATGAATTGATGACCTCGGGCTGTGAGTCCACAGGGGACACAAAAGACCCTGGGGGGCTGTTTCCTCTAAACAAACCTGAAAAAGCAATCCTAACAGTGTCCATTCTATATGTAAATGTAGCACTTGTTGAAAAACAACAAAGACATGCTAATTGTTCCAGTAATTCTTATTTGCGATGAACAGAACTCCATCCACTTGGGTGAACAGCTTGCATTAGAAGACAACAATGCGAACTCCCCGGGGCTTTATAAGTCAGGCACGCAGATCATTTCACCGAGGTTAGTGGGTGCAGTCGAAATAAACCCCGAAGCCAGGAAAATGTGAATCCATTTTGAAACCAGTGGTCCTTAAGAAGCCCAGTCGGCCAAGCTTCCATTCTCATGCCAGGAAAAGCTTGTGCTGTTCATGCAGAAGCTCTGGGGAGCAAATGTCATTCTAGTGCCGGGCAATTTAGCCCAAGAGACCACATCACATGAATTCATAAAAATGAATCTACTTCAAGTGAATTGTAACGATACAGCGCAGATGGCAATTTCCTGCATAAAAGCGGACCCCTCATCGAAGTCACACAAGAGCATTCACAGATTTCGGAACTCGGTTCATACACAAGGCGACCCAACATTATTAGGTCCATTTGGGAGAAAATGTCCGACTTTTAAGTGTGCCTTATGGTCGTGAAAATACAGTAGTTGGCAACAAAACATTTACTACTGGACCACTGGACTGGACTACTGAAGCAATGCTGGTCCAACATCTTGAAATTGGTCGAAATGTGCATGTCCTCGTGTGTGTCTCCTTCCTTTTATGGAAAAGGACAGAGGGGAAAAACACGAAGCAATACCAGTTCACCCCACCCTGGTTTGTACCAATGAGGAACGGAATGAGTCACAAGTGGAACACAAAATGTTCTCTCACAAGTCTGATGTCATCTTGATGAACAAGAGGATGTTAATTCAATTTAAAAAAATGACAGAAAAGCTCAATAAGAGAGCAGATGTGACTGGCTGTTATCGTAATTTCATGAGAACACACGTTTCAGGTGCTGGATTTTCACCGATTGCCTCTGAAGATGACAGAGCATTGTGAAAATTATGTGGGAGGGGGAAAAAAAAATTTGCTTTGGGAAATACTTCCAACTTTTATACCAAACAATTTTTTTGTATTTGCGGCTGTGTACTTGTTCGTCTTAACAGCACGTTCGGCACAGCTCGTGACATCGTCCTTAGTATTATTGTGGAGACAAAGAAAGGGAGTCGTAGCCTAGTAAGTGTATCACCTAACAATTTACTAAACGGTTCTCAAAACGACGCAAAGCTCGGAAGAAAAAAAAAGATGAATATGGATGTAAATGGCCCCTGCCGTGAGCCTCAACGGGATAAGCGTTACAAAATATGGGCGGCAGCCGCGTTTTCAAACAGTCATTGTACTTGTGCGCACGCCCTTTCGCATAAATGATGACAGCTGACCAGCCAGTTTCATGGCCAAACGGTTTGGATAACCGTGGAATGAGGAACAAAGGACGGCCCGACCGAGCAAACACATGAGGACGATCCCCGAGCCTAACATCTTTTGGCCTTAGGGCATCGCAGGGGACATCGAGGCTGGGGCGTTAAAATCCACCGATTTATTCTTAAGTGCCTGCCTGGCTGAGAATATCTCCCTTTCCCCATCTGTTACCAATGGCACCAGCCTACGCAGAGCTGGAGGGGGGTCTGGATTGGGGAAAACACAGTGGAGGGGGCGGGGGGGGTTAAAACAGTGCCCCCCCCCCAAGGCAAATTAAAATTCTAATTATCCTCTATTACAAGCTGTGTGCGCTCCAAAGCAGATCAGATACTGATGACTTCTGCAGCCAGCTGTTTAGACGCTCGATTGAACAATAGGCCATAAATGTGTGCGTTCGGAATCAGGGGAATTTATGCGTCGGATGGATTAAGATTAATACGAAGGGATGATGATGCTCTCTTTGGCTTTGTAAATATGTTTTTTTTTTTTATATTCCATTAATGGCCTTTTTCCAGAGCGGGGATTGTTTTCGATGAAATTTCGGTCATGTTTTGGATCAAGCTATTTTCGTTTTAATTCCAGGTTTGCTAGTTTATCCTACTAATCCAATGGATTGCTAGCCAAGATGTCGGAATTAGAGTGCTGCACAGTACACAAATAATAAGATCCCTGGGTTGAAGAAAACAAAATGCACAGAAAAAGCCTTTATGAGCCACACAACTTTCACCTGTATCGAAAAAAAAAAGGACATTCCCGTGAAACGGCTGTGGTTTCCCAAAGAACCAAATCTGCCCTTGTAGGGGTTGCAAGCGCACACATTACATTCGCCCAGGGAGGAGAAGGAAGTCTCTAAACAGACAGCAACATCCCCCTACTCCCCACCCATCCACCCTGTGGTGTTGCAACGCATTGAGGCGAGCCACGTGTGCTGCTATTACATCCCATTGTTCTTGCCGCACGGAGGGACGGGGCGTAGCGGTGCTCCCAAAAGAACAACAGACACTTTTTGCATTTGAAGGGCTGCGTGTGCATGCGAGGTCAAAGCGGTTGAGGGCAGGGGAGGGGAGGAGTGCGCTATTATGTGACCCCACTTTGCAAATGAAACACACACACACACACACACACACACACACACACACACACACACAGACCTGAAGAACAGATGGGATAAAGGCAAACAGTGAATCCCCCTATGCTCTTCTATCATCCTCGGCACTGAGGACAGCTGGGAGGCAGAATTCCTTCCTCTCAGTTTACAGGGGGAAAACAAAGGAGAGTGTCGGGGAACACCCCCCACTCCGCATCCCCCTCCTTTGCACATGTGCATGTGTTGAGCACACCCCCACGCTTGCCCCTCCCAGACTGTCGGTGGAACTGTGACAACTGTGAGCTGGCCGCATTTCAGAAGGCAGACTGTTAGCCAGCAAAGGGTTGAGGACATTGGCTCAAAGTGAGAGGCCAGCGAGACTCTCCGAGTCTGGCGCCTTGACCATCCAAGTCAAATAACCTCTGCAAATTGGAAACCTTTCGAATTTTTTCTTTTTATGTGTAAATGTAGTGACCAAAATCAATAGTACAGCACATTCAGGGTTCTTAAATGGATGAGTCATTGTGAAGCTGTTAATTTCCCTTCAATTTACGGAGGAATAAACAGCACATAAATATCCTGCACCAAAGAGGGAGAGACCATTTACATCAAAAACTCCACATCATCTCTGCGCAAGGGCACGGATGTTAGATTTGCAGTGCTGACTGACTGATCGCCTTCGAAAGCGCAACTGCCGACAAGGGGGTGAAGAAATAGCAGCGACATCAAACCGTGTTTGTGAAACATGAGGCCGCGCTACACACGGAGCAGAGTGGTGTATACTTTCACTTTAGTATTCACAGCATCAGCTGTGCAACAACTGATACGGACGGTTACCACTTTGACAATCTTGAAAAAAAAAAGACAAATATGTAAACGCGTTCACTGCTGTGGATAGCAACAATACTTAAGAGTATACGTCTTGAAATCCTTAATTTTAAAAGAAAAAAAAAGAAAAAAAAACATGTTCAAGGGAAACAATTAGACTTATGTGAGTGTGGTGATCGATCCCGGTTCTTTCTGAACCTAAAACCCAAACATTTTTTTATTTTCTGAAGCAAAAGTCTCATCAAGAAAAGGCGTGATGCACCACATGTGAAGCAAGCCAAGACAAACAAAGACAGACAGGAACAGACATACTGTACTCGGAGCAGACGTAGAATAAAGTCAACGCTGCAATTTGTCCCTATCAGAGCTGCGACAGAGGCATCGCACCGGACGCTGACATGAGATGTATAATTATCTGATTGGGGGATGCAATTTTACGGAGTGAAAGTGTGCACAGTTGCGACGATATCCTGTATTGCTGGTTTCTGAGTAAAAGCCAGAGGCTGCATGGATCTCTGTGCAAAAACATGATCTTATCTAGATGAGGGTTTGAACCTGCAGTCTTGAGCACTGACGAAACACTCCATAAAACAAACGGCACAATGAGGCATGGCAGCTGACAGCTCAAAAAAAAAAAAAACCAAGCAGGAAGTAAGAGACATTTTGCACACAGGAAATACGTACTGTTCATTAGTCATTCGTGAGACCATGTATTAGACGTGATAAGTCAACACGCTAACGGTACGATCATGCAGTCAGAAGAAGAAAAAAAACCTGCCAACTTATCCTTCAAAGCATATGATCAGAGGAGAGTTTCATGACCGGCTACTGTATCTGGTGTGTGTAGTCTTCCTTCATTTGCAATTGGATTCATTTTAGTCTACACACGAAGCAGCAAACGAGCAGCAATGCTGTTTGTGGAGCAAAGCTGCGAGTTCAAGAGAACCAGCAGCGCACTACCTTGTCACATGACAGCAGTCATCAGAAATGCAGCAAGACCGCGCATGTACAGGCCGGCCCTTCCCGTCGGCTCATAATCAATCCGTCAGAAGAGTGCTTCGCTTTCCAAGTTGGTGCACCGTGCCCCTATGCGCAATGGAAGGCTTCACTTTAAGAGCGGGCAAGTTTGGACGCTAAAAGCATCCGACAATGCTGATGCTAGGCAAAAGCTAATAGAAGGCTTCATCGATTCAGAATGTTGTCAAGAACACGGTGGATGATTAGGTCTGAGCAATGCCAATTTTTTTAGACAGCTAGCACTTTTAGGTGAGGGTACTTTGGAACACTCTGCATATTTATCATTAGTGCGGTCCGGGTCAGTAAGTGTTGAGGAAGACAATATTAAAATCAAGAATGAGACCACCGACAGGCAGCAGAAGAAGTAGTCAGCTGGATGTGTCAGAGCTGCCCAAGACCTTCCAGAAAGTAGATGTCTAAAGCATTCGGTGTCAGCGCCTGGTGGGATTGCAAAGCCTGACAACTTGTTTCGACAAGTAGCTTATGTTGACATACGGTGTGATCCACCTCCATAACTTTGCTGTTTCATTGGGCCCGCGGACAAGCCTTTAAAATCGAAACCCGTCTAAAATTTATGATACAAAAAATCAGAAACACGAGACCCACAAACAGGTATCACGAAATAGAAGAGACTATTAAAACCGAGAGAAAAGTAACGTCAATGTCAAGTCTGGAAAAAAAAAAAAGAAAAAAAAAAAAGAAGACCAAACGCAGGCAAGAAGACAAGAGAGCGGGGGATATATATAGCAGCTCATTAGTCAGGGATGTCGTCTACTCAGCAGGCTGATCCCTTAGATGACGCCCATTGGAAATTATTATGACGGTCTGGTGCTTCAACCACACACATCGTTCGCCAGGGAACAATTTTGTAACAAACTCTCGAAGAAACGCTGCATAACCGCCACTGGCGGACACATGCAAATACGACAAACATGGGGCGAAAAGCTGCTCAATGACACTGGCTGAGAACAGAGAACGACGGCTCAAGTGATCCACGTACACGGCGAAACGGAGGAGGTGAAGGATTGAAGCAGACTGCCCCTCGATGCGCCCTGGTCTCACCTGGATCACGGTTGAAATGAAAAAGGAGAGCGATATCTCGGGGGCAAGGGCGGGTGCTGTGTTCACTGCAGTGGTAATTGCAGGCTGGTGATCGAGTGGAGCTCCAGCTTGCAGTGGTTTGGCCCGCGGCTTCCAACACCCCCCCTCAAAGCCTTCTTTGTTCTCACGTTTCAGAGCGGGGGGCCAGTAGTCCACAGATTGCCTTACCCCTGCATGCCTACAAACTGCTAGGCTAACAGGACTTCGGGGATTAATCCCCCACAGTTAATTGCGCGGGAGCTATTGTCCCGAGGCTTCACTGTTTGTGAAAACAGCTTTCAGAAAGGCCGCCAGCCTCGAGTGCACAAAAAAAAAAAAACAAAACAAAACATGAAGTCCTCCTCTGCAGTAGTAACAGTTTGACACATTGATGAATTATCATCTGTGTCAGAAAGGTCTTCGTTTACATTTTTTTTGGCATTGTGTTAAATTAAATGTTATACATCAAATCAACTGGATGTATCAGTACTTGTGATTGGTGAATACTCATACTCGTGTAAGTCTGACAAAAAGCATTCCTATTGGAAAAGCTAGGATGCAGGATCCCTTTGACTGAGGTCAAAGGGATGGCATGTTCCCTCAGGCCCAGTGACAGCCATTTCCTGTTCTCACACACGAACATATATAAATACGAGCTCTATGCAGAGCCAACAGCAGGCCTGTTTATGGGAAACTTTTGGTTTGTTTTTTTTTTGGTATTGTTTATCTACTTAAGTGGACCCGTAAAAAAAAAAAAGATCTGAGTCTCCTGGCACATAATGCTGTTACAGCAGAAAACAAGGCATGTGATCATGTGAATAAAACCTTTTATTCACCCAGCTGAGTCTTGATTCTTGCAGCTCTGACTCACTGTCGACGTCTGCATCCTCTGTCACAACCCACAGACAAACTGCAAGATACTCGTTCAATAGATCCACCGCAGATGTTCAAGGGGACGTTTACACGACAACAGCCTCGTAAAAACTCGAACATTCACACAGGCGCTAAAAATGATCTAAGACTCAAAATATTTCAGATTAAATATTTTTTGAAAAAGAAGAATGTGTCAATGTTGTATTTATTTATGAAATTTGTACTAGGCCCGGCAACAGAGAATTTCAGGTGGCCCGACGCAGTCAATTGCTGGCACCATGCAACTTTTTATGGAGAACACTGGTTTGCATTTTCAGGCTGATTACAGACATACACACACACACACACACACACACAGCACGTGACTTGAGGATTTAAGGATACATTTAGCCGGACTAGCTTGGCAGTGTATTGGACCCTGAACGTGAGAGTCAGAGCAGCCCCCGTGGGCTCGACACAAATCGCGTGTTACATAATCGAGGCGACACAGCATGTCACCTCCCTCTTTTTCTATTGTGATGCTTACACACCTATGCGCACAAACACACATGTATCTATTCAAGACGTTTAAGAAAGTAAACCTATTAACACTTGCAGCACAGCCCACAGCCAAACAATACATCTCTAACCCATTTCAATGAAAACATACATAGTCGCCGTGAACCCGGCAGCAAGGACATCTGGCACATTTCACGAGCTGGCTTTGTGTGCGCGCGTGTTTGCAGATGGCGTGTGCTTGTGTGTGTAGGAGGGACATCCGAGAGTTGAAGTGAACGGGAAGCTGGCACAAGAAAAGGCTTCCAAGTATGCAACATCAACAATGTATTGTTTGTATAATGCGAGTGCATCGTCTTTGATCAGACCAGATGAGAGTTTACACTTTTAATTATCAACCAAACGACTGGACGACAACGGATGATGATGAACAAGGTATTTTTTAATCCTATTGAGTTACAAAACTTGTCCTGGAGGTTGGTGCAGTAAAATTCAACACTTGCTTACTCTGTGAAAAGCGCTCAGAGGGCCCGAATTCTCACGTCGGATCATAAATTGATGACAGCGACATGACTGCGGCGGATAACATTCTCTCTCTGTTTCACTCAATGGCTGAGCGGACTGTTGTGATTCATTAAGGCGACAAACAGAAGCACTGCAACCTGAGCGGCCCGAGGGTAAAAAAGAAGCCAATTTAATCTGGCTGGCCTGCAAGACGATCAAAATATAACTTCCGCGAGTCTGTGCAACCAGGTTAAAATGGCAATTTATTCCATGTGCACTCTCCAGTAGACAGTAAGCGTGTGTGTGTGTGTGTGCGTGCGTGCTTTACCTGATGCGTGGCCATGGTGGAGCACAGTGATGAGGAGTAGAAGCAAGGGGAAGGCCAGCCTGTGGGCTAGAGAGGAGGAGGAGGAGGAAGGGGCTCTCGTATGTAACGCTACCATTCCATTGCACATCTTTTCCTCCAACAACCGGCAAGAGTCCTCTACGGCTTAACCTGCTCCAGCGAGGGAGAGAGAGCGAGAGAGAGAGAACATGGGTTACTATACACATTCAGCATCTTATTATGTAAACGCAGAGACAAGCCGGGATTGTGAACGACATTCAGGTTAGAAGTCATCAAGACAATGAAACAGGGCTTTCTCTCGGCGCATCAAACAGCGACGTGATTACTGCACGAGTTACTATTTGCGTTCCAACTGCTCATGCTGCGGGCCCGAATACACTGGCAGTTTCGGGGCTTCCTTTCTGACAACCTCAGCACGAAAATTCCTGGAACTGAGCTTCCGTTCCCACTCTTGGCGTGCGACCAAGATCTAAATAAACTATCCGCTAATGCTTTGGTCGAGATGAAGCGACAGGAAAACAAATCCCTGCCGCCGATGAGGAAGCAGTATTACAGGCACGTGAAAGGTAGGCAGGACTCGTGCTCTGAGGCGATCTGTTCATTGACGGCAGCAAGCTATTCTGCGGATGAGCATCTACTTATTGAGGCGGGCGGTGCAGCATGTGACGGTAACACCGCATTGTGTAAAGTAACAATGAGAAACGTGACGTGACGTGATGGGTGTGCCGCCATTATTAACAACCCGTTTTCATCAAACACAGGTTTCGGTCCATTGTTTGATGGGATTATGAAAAACGAAATCTAGTATTAGACAATTCGTTATCTATGGCGAGCTTGCAGACAGCGGACTCTACAGAGAGCGAGAGAGCAAGAGAGAGTGGAGTGTAGAGGTCCACATGGCTGCTGAGCTAATGGCAACTGTAATGGCAAGGTTACAATTAGAGGGCAGGGGATATGATTGCGGATCTGCTGCATGGCCACTGACAGATGACCCGGAGTTGCTTTGATGGTGACACCGTAAGCGTGTGACTTCAAATGACTGGGTTGCAATGCGCAAGCCTGCATGTTGTTGGGGAAGACATCAGACTCCCGATCGCGGGAGTAGGTGACGCTGCACATGTTTCTGTTGTCACTAGTCCCTTCAAACTAACCTTTAGAAGCTGGCATTTTCAACCTTTCTTCAATGCCACTGATTCTTTGGAAACGTCGCTGTCACAGAATGTTAGTTGGGGAAAGGGGCGAATTCAGCTTGGCAATTTTTCTTTTTTCAATAAAAATGCTTGCTATGCCAATCTCAATGTGCTGAGTGTAAATATTTCACAGAACAGAGCGCTCCAGTACATCAATCGCAGCATATCTGATCAGGCTGCACATGTTTCAACGTAATAACAGTTTCACATGATTGAGGCTGAAGGGAATTCGAAAGGAGCGAGGGAGAAATTTCCAATGCGCAAACAGCAGGTTAGATGCCCGGCCGCCTACCGTCGGCCTTCTGTTCCCAAGGGTTTGATGGCAACAGATACGTGCATGTGGTGCAGGTCTGTGGGAGAGAATGACGCAAACCAGATTTGACAAGACAGTTCGAGCCAAAGGGAACAAAAATACATCAAGGCCCGTGCTAACCTTTAGAACTAAACGTGTTAGAGCTTTTTTTTTCCAACATCCAAAATCTCAGATGGGGATCTATGGATATTCTGCCTCCAAACTAGAAAAAATCAATTTTAAAAGCAATTTAATTCAATTAACCAAGTACCAGTAAACATTCTCTAGTACGGACTCGTGTTTGCGCTGTCCAATCTGTCCTGATAACAGAAATTCCTCATTTGGGAAATTAGCGTGGTACATGTCCTTTATGAACCTGCAAGTATGTTGACAAAATACACGCGTAAGAACACAATCAATAAAATACAAAAATATACTGTCCAAAAACTGTTTATATACCAAAAACTGCAATACAGGTGTATCAAAAAAAAATCACAACAGTAAAATACGTACAGTATTTTAATGTTTATTTTTTTCTGTCTTGGGAAAAAAATGTGTCTATTTTGGATCGTTTTGTTGGAGGCATTCTTTGGTTTATGACAATGTTTGCCTGCGTGTCATACAGTCTTCTTGCTAGTTGCAAGTAACTGTCCCGTTGATCACCGATGTCTGGTAATTCTTGTGCATACTGAAGGATTTTTGTTGCCATTTGCATTGTTTCCTTGCTGGATGGTGGCTTTTCACCAGGAGCTGAATCGATGCCTTGTTTTTTTTAAAGTTTCGTAGATTTGCGTCTTTCGGACTCCAAGTGTCTGCTGGATGTTTTTTAGCATCTTATTATGTAAACGCAGAGACAAGCCGGGATTGTGAACGACATTCAGGTTAGAAGTCATCAAGACAATGAAACAGGGCTTTCTCTCGGCGCATCAAACAGCGACGTGATTACTGCACGAGTTACTATTTGCGTTCCAACTGCTCATGCTGCGGGCCCGAATACACTGGCAGTTTCGGGGCTTCCTTTCTGACAACCTCAGCACGAAAATTCCTGGAACTGAGCTTCCGTTCCCACTCTTGGCGTGCGACCAAGATCTAAATAAACTATCCGCTAATGCTTTGGTCGAGATGAAGCGACAGGAAAACAAATCCCTGCCGCCGATGAGGAAGCAGTATTACAGGCACGTGAAAGGTAGGCAGGACTCGTGCTCTGAGGCGATCTGTTCATTGACGGCAGCAAGCTATTCTGCGGATGAGCATCTACTTATTGAGGCGGGCGGTGCAGCATGTGACGGTAACACCGCATTGTGTAAAGTAACAATGAGAAACGTGACGTGACGTGATGGGTGTGCCGCCATTATTAACAACCCGTTTTCATCAAACACAGGTTTCGGTCCATTGTTTGATGGGATTATGAAAAACGAAATCTAGTATTAGACAATTCGTTATCTATGGCGAGCTTGCAGACAGCGGACTCTACAGAGAGCGAGAGAGCAAGAGAGAGTGGAGTGTAGAGGTCCACATGGCTGCTGAGCTAATGGCAACTGTAATGGCAAGGTTACAATTAGAGGGCAGGGGATATGATTGCGGATCTGCTGCATGGCCACTGACAGATGACCCGGAGTTGCTTTGATGGTGACACCGTAAGCGTGTGACTTCAAATGACTGGGTTGCAATGCGCAAGCCTGCATGTTGTTGGGGAAGACATCAGACTCCCGATCGCGGGAGTAGGTGACGCTGCACATGTTTCTGTTGTCACTAGTCCCTTCAAACTAACCTTTAGAAGCTGGCATTTTCAACCTTTCTTCAATGCCACTGATTCTTTGGAAACGTCGCTGTCACAGAATGTTAGTTGGGGAAAGGGGCGAATTCAGCTTGGCAATTTTTCTTTTTTCAATAAAAATGCTTGCTATGCCAATCTCAATGTGCTGAGTGTAAATATTTCACAGAACAGAGCGCTCCAGTACATCAATCGCAGCATATCTGATCAGGCTGCACATGTTTCAACGTAATAACAGTTTCACATGATTGAGGCTGAAGGGAATTCGAAAGGAGCGAGGGAGAAATTTCCAATGCGCAAACAGCAGGTTAGATGCCCGGCCGCCTACCGTCGGCCTTCTGTTCCCAAGGGTTTGATGGCAACAGATACGTGCATGTGGTGCAGGTCTGTGGGAGAGAATGACGCAAACCAGATTTGACAAGACAGTTCGAGCCAAAGGGAACAAAAATACATCAAGGCCCGTGCTAACCTTTAGAACTAAACGTGTTAGAGCTTTTTTTTTCCAACATCCAAAATCTCAGATGGGGATCTATGGATATTCTGCCTCCAAACTAGAAAAAATCAAATTTAAAAGCAATTTAATTCAATTAACCAAGTACCAGTAAACATTCTCTAGTACGGACTCGTGTTTGCGCTGTCCAATCTGTCCTGATAACAGAAATTCCTCATTTGGGAAATTAGCGTGGTACATGTCCTTTATGAACCTGCAAGTATGTTGACAAAATACACGCGTAAGAACACAATCAATAAAATACAAAAATATACTGTCCAAAAACTGTTTATATACCAAAAACTGCAATACAGGTGTATCAAAAAAAAATCACAACAGTAAAATACGTACAGTATTTTAATGTTTATTTTTTTCTGTCTTGGGAAAAAAATGTGTCTATTTTGGATCGTTTTGTTGGAGGCATTCTTTGGTTTATGACAATGTTTGCCTGCGTGTCATACAGTCTTCTTGCTAGTTGCAAGTAACTGTCCCGTTGATCACCGATGTCTGGTAATTCTTGTGCATACTGAAGGATTTTTGTTGCCATTTGCATTGTTTCCTTGCTGGATGGTGGCTTTTCACCAGGAGCTGAATCGATGCCTTGTTTTTTTTAAAGTTTCGTAGATTTGCGTCTTTCGGACTCCAAGTGTCTGCTGGATGTTTTTTACCTTGTGTCCAGCCTCGCTCAAACGGATGCATTTCACTCGCTCCGCTACAGTCATTACAGTTCTTCTACGTTTCGATGCCATGATCTACACCAGTGTTTTTCAAACTTTTTTGAGCCAAGGCCCACTTCTTTCATTGAAAAAAAAACTCGCGGCACACCACTAGCTGAAAATGTGAACCCCCCACCTCCCCCGCTTATTTTAACAATTACCGTGTTATATTGTTACTATAACCGGTTTAACATTGAAGAATGACGTTATAACAGCTTGAATTGGAATCAAATGAACACAAAGAAAACAGTATTTTATCATCTTTCATATTTATTGTTTCACCGCCGTCCTGCATTCATGCGTCACAAATTCGCTTGTCTCTCGTCGAAACACAAGGCAATTGGCTAGCTGCTGCTGCTCCCTAGCGGTAAGGGACGGTACTATATGATTACTTTCTGAGCGAAAGACCGCACAGGCATACAAATTGGATATTTTCCCGCGGCACACTGGTTGAAAAACACTGATATACACGACGTAAGTGAATAAAGTTAAAATCTTTCGCAATTACAGTAAAACGCACGCCAATAAAAAGTCACTTACACGTCATCGTTTCGAATCTGATGAAAACGGCGAAGCGAACACGTTTTTTCTGTCGTGTCGAGAGGGTGCTGCTGCTTTTAAGCAAGTGCCGCGATCTACAGGACGTAAGTGAATAAAGTTAAAATCATTCACAATTACAGTAAAACGCACGTCAATAAAAACTCACTTACACGTCGTCGTTTCGAATCTGATGATCGAAAAACGAAGTGAAAACGTGTCTCAGTGTCGTCTTTTCCGTCGCATCGGGTGGGCGTTGAGTGTATTTAAGCTCCCGCGGCATTACGCCTCCATCCGGGTTACGGCTAGTGGAATTTCCGCTTAATTAAGTTCCGGTAACAGGTAATATCGGAGTCAAAATGTTAATGCATAGGTTTTTATTACGGGTGAAGGATATTTCTTTTCATAGAATTCTGGGGATGGGAATATTTACTGTAATCGACATAATCATTTGGATGGTAAAAAGGTTCTCGGTTGACCCCAGGATACGTCTGCTGATAGTATATGGAGAAATAATTCTCTGTGTGTTGGGAAGACAGAAGGGGTGCAGGCTCACAGTTGCCAACTTCATTTAAATTGTGTGATCATGCAGGTTCACGTCGGGGGGCATCCATAACTAAAGCATTGGCGGTGCAGAGAAAAATACGCAGCGCCATATCGTTTAGGATGCAGGATTTGAGCACTCGATTAAAGTGCTTCAGCTGCATTATAATCCCATTTAGTGACTGAGAAATATCCACAAGCTTGTCCCATAATATATTATATTCATTAATATTAATAGAGCACATAACAGACACAAACACAACTCATCTGTCGCTGCATCAAATCGTCGTCGTTATTGTCTTAGAGTGTCACAGTAATATATTAAAATAATAAAACGTCTTTCACATCTATAGGTGTAAATTTCTCTGTCTTCCCTGGTTTAGTTTTTGTTCACACAGGAAAAATTCCAAAGGTACCAAAATGCGTCACAACAAAACATGACATTGCCGTTTACGCTCGACTGAAAATAGTATGTTGGATATTTATACAAAAATTGAAAAAACACTGAATGAGAGTCTATTGGGCTACAAAACACCAGCAAATCGCAAAATTTGTGCGGTGATGAGAACACGTGAGCGTTATCGCACATCAAGGCAGCAAATGTCGAGCATGTTGGAAGACGCTAACCACAAATGTGCCAAACCAAAGATGTGTCAGCTAAGTCAACAGTCTAACCTGTTCACATACCACGTGCGGTTCCGTCACCATAACGATTATCGAGCATGGTGAGAGCGCATCAGTAACTAAAAAAAAATCCGAAGCAAACTTCATCCTGCTTCCTGCCGATGCTATCGTTAAAGTTGTTGCGCCACTGTGCACGCACTGCATCACAGAATACCAAGAAGCCTGCTACAGAGGACGACGACGACTTTCCAGAGACTCTAACTACAACGTGAACAATATTTACAATTAGAATGTGAGGGTAACCGTTTGAAATCTCAATATGGTTTATGAGTCAACCATAAACCACGTAGCATAGATGTGAGTCGTAGAGGTCAAAGAACTGTGTGCTTCCGCTCAAAAGCAAACAACTTAACTGAAGCTCAAATGACCAAAGCAATGCAAATACACAAAAGCTTTTGTGCATCGACCGTCGAAACAATAAAACAGTTGATGCTAGCTAACAGCTTGTCTTAGCAGTCACTTCTGCCTCACGGTTCACAGAAAAGCCACAAGAAAAATACCCAGCTCACGTCAACGGCATCCTCTGATACTCGCTGTATTGACTTCAGGTGACGTATGCTGGGGTCTCGCAAGATTTGCTCAAGTGTAGCAGGATATTGCTGGTGTCTCGTCGACGCTGTGTTGAAGTCTGACGTGTCGCCAAATGAGATGATTTTGACTTTTGTGGTCAAATTTTACCAACATCTTAACTGTTTCCACCACTGTTCTTATAACCACATTCACTCCAGTTCATGGTTGAACAATCAATAGTCACAAATAGACACAAATAAAGGTCTGGTATAAGATGGTAAGCTGTACAATTACAAGGGGAAAAAAATAGTCAATTGTCACTTCAGACACCAGCCTGATGAGCATCCATCCAGCAGGCTGTCGCTGCAGCTTTTCAGCTGCCTGCAGCTCCGTGAATGCAAGCGATCCAAGGAAAGCAGCAGCACAGGCATGGACAGAAAGCAGTCATTGTGCCAAAGAAACAGCCGAGAGGATATTTCCACCCGACAGGCCCTAAAGCTACCGCAGCTGGTCGAGGCATCGGAGCCTGAGGAGGGAGCCCAAAGACGAAGCTCTGCATGGCACGCACTCGTCACTCTTGTGATAGCTGTTGATAGTAAGCACCACAGTGGCTGCTCATCCCTCTTGGCTACCTCAAGGAACATGACGGACAGGATTTAGACACAGAAATAGGCGCGAAAAAGAAACTTTTGATTTGAAGTCTGGGCTTGGTTAAAACACCACAGTGCTGGCACCTTAAAGGTGAGAGTCTGATCCAAGACCAGATTCAAAAATCTACCATGCTGCAGGCCAACCATCTCTCTGAAACTGATTGCGTCTGGATGTTGTTACCTTAGATTTCACTGTGCCAGAAAATAATTTTATCAACAGTATCACACAATTTGAACAACCCTAACTTCTAAACATTTCATCACACCATGTGTTGCCCATAAATCTCTTGCGTTCCCCTTCTTCTTTCTTAGCTTTGTCATTATTACAATTCAACCAGACAGTCAGTAATCACTTCCATCCTTGAGTGCGTGACGTTTCTGTCCTGTCCAGCAAACAGGAAACGACTCAACGTATTACTGGAACAAAAGCGAGGGTGGAATAGGACAGTGGTGTGGGGGAACATATGAGCAACCCAAACCAAAGTCAACACTACAACACATCAGTTCCAGTTCTCAGGAGACGTCCTGCCGCCTTCGCAGCAGCAGTCGGTCACACGCCAGGACACGTGCAAATGTACTGCGAGATATTTAAACAAAGAAAGTGACGGGCTGGAGAGAACGCACGCACACAATACATAAAATCTCTTTAGACTTGCATTTATTTTTTTTCTGATAGCTAATTAGGTACAAAATATATCACTGTTCACGTGACCAAATCGAAACAATACACAAGCAGCACTCGAGGCTTGTTTTTTTTAATGTACATAGTAGTAAAACCTTATTCTAAGTAATTATGTCTCATAAAAATCGGCAAATTAATGACAGTGTTATGGATTAGCAACTGAGATAACCTCAATGTTGTGAAACACCATCCGCTGCGACGGCTTAATTAACAGCGGTTTAGTATCAAGTTTAAAAATAGGAAACTTATCCTCCAAGTGAGATCATGATGAATTCCTTACGATTCCATTTGAAACGCATAAGATCATTTCATTTTGTAATCAAGCACATAAAACGACAACCACTGGGAGTCTCGTAGTGGCCTTTCTCCGCTTAGCTTGCCAAATAATAGGCGACTTACCGACAAAAGGTTACCAGCGGCGAGCCCTCCTCCCTTGTTCACATTCGACGCATTTAACCGCGACGTAAACGAACACACACGACGCGGTAGTTGACGAAAAAAATTAATAAATCAACAAATGATGTCGTCTATGTCGTCGTATTCCACCAGCGAGGCTCTGTTGTTTCCTTGTCCTCGGCTCGGCTCGTCACAGTTCTTTATTTTAGGTGAGCGGAAACACTCGCTGTGTGAAAACTCGACCAGCTGCCTCGCTCTCGCGCGGTTTCCATGGCTACTCCGTGAAAAGGGCGGGTCCTAATCTGTCAAGTCATCCTCAGGACTCCTTCAAAGTTAAAGCAAACCCCTTCAGAGTAAGAGCGCACCATTTGGTGCTGAGACAAAGAAAAATGTGAGAAAAGAACACAAAGGGCCCGACGTATTTTACAATATGACAATAAGCAACGAGCATATGAACAGCTTGGACTGTTATACCTTTACCAATTTACCGTCGTTTTAGGTTTATGAGAATGTAGGCGTATATTGAATGTTTTGCTTTGTAATTACAAAGGCTCATCCCAGCTATTCCATACATACAGTTATAGATACAGGTAGAAACAGAACATATTACGTTCAATGCTGCCCTCTAGTGGCTACTAAGAATACCCAGCAAAAGGAGTTCGAGTCCATTTTTGACCATGTTTTCAAAAAAAAAAAAAAAAAAAGGGGAAATGATTTCATTCTATGTTGATACAAGCATAACTAAAGTGTCAAAAATATTGATATTTCTGAAAAATCTGTACAAGGAACCGGCTTCGTAGTTCCCGGCGCGTACCACTACCATCTTGACACAACACCCCAAACATTTTCCCCTCTTAAAAACAAATATGCTGCGTTTCCAAAATAAGACACTTCTTCCAGTCCTGCTGAGGAAGAAAGAGTAAATAATGCTGTCAACTTCTGAATCAATAACTAAAAGGAGAGTTTCGGAAACCACCCCGTCTTTTTTCCGTAAAGTGGTTCATTCCAGCAGCTTCCGGTGCAGTCGGTCAGTGCTTTCACTTACTTGTCCGTCTAATATTTTTTTTAAAGATATGTTTTCAGTCCTTTTGCTGAAAGGGAGGGGTTTTTATGCATTACTTTCAATGTGCGTTCCTTTTCAAATCATCTCAAAACATCATCTCTCTAACGTAGAGTAACAGCGATAATTAAGCTTTAACTTGCACTTAGACCAAAAGTTTTTTATTACTGTATCCACGTTAAGACTTTTCTGCACAATGTAAAACTGCGATTTACCTTGTTGTGACTTAACCCCCAATTTTCTTTTTAGATGTTCAACAAGACATTGGTGCACTGTGTTACCTTTCACCCAGTGAAACATCACACAATCTTTGTTGATGCCCTTGCACGGCATCAAAATGTCAAAGGGGGCGTTAACCACATTATTAATCATGCAAATAAATATTGCGGGAATATCTTCACGCATAGGTATAACGTATCATTCAGCAATGTGCACAAATTTGACCTCGAAAAAGGTGTTTGAACTTGTCTTTGTCCTTTTCTCTTTTGCTAACATAGGCAATGATAGATTATTCATGAGTCATGTTGATTGTTTTGACAGACGCTGTGGCAACGACAATGAAAGCAACGTTCAGTTCATTTGTGTGAGTCACAAATCTGCCTTAAAACTGAAATGGCCCAGATCCGCCTGAAAATCCTCCCCAGCGCCCGCTGTCTCTTTGACAAACTGGTTCAAGTCAAAGTCGAGGGTCTCGCTCCACACAAACAGGTGGAATTAAGGTCGAGATTGGTTGACGACAAAGGGGTGATTTTCAAAGCTTCCGCCCTCTACCAAGCGGATGAAAAAGGCCTGGTCGATGTGAGTAGCACCCCCTCTCTGGGAGGAAGTTACACTGGAGTGGAGCCCATGGGCTTATGGTGGTCCATGAGGCCAGACACCCCGCACAAAAAACTGGTGAAGAAAAACGTCCTGAGCCCAACTCTCGTGGAGATAGCAGTCCACAACGGAGGCACTGGCGAGAAGATAGCCTCTGAAATCAATGAGAGAGAATATATGACGGAGGGCATGAGGAGAATTCCTGTGCAAGAGGGACGTGTGCGAGGAGTCCTCTTTATACCACCAGGTTTGTAGGTTTACTGTTGTTCATCAAATAATAGCAGAGCCACTTAAGAACTGAACTGTGGGGTTTCTCTTAAGGCGGTGTCTACTATACAGAACATGTGTGTGTAAGGGTAGCTTCTGATGGGAGGAAAGCAAAAGTGTTGTTAAAAAAAATACAGGTTAAAACTGACTGGAAATAAACTGTACGGCTCAAGTGATGACACAATTACAATATCTTGCACTCATGTCACAGTTCAGATATGTCTTGGCAGCGTAAATAGAAAAAAACCCCACATGGAATCTCCATCTTCAGATTTACTCAATAAAACGGGATTGCAGTGTACGTACAGCCAGTGGACATAAAAAGTCTAGAAACCCCACAGCACCGCCTGATATGAGAGGATGGTATTTTTTCAAGGAATATTGGACTATGTAGTATTCATTCCAATCTGACTTCCTTGAGTTCCTTATGTATTTTATTGATTGACTTACTTTTTTAGGGAAGGGGCCATTCCCTGGAATTCTGGATTTATATACTTTAGGTGGAGGCCTAAATGAACAGCGAGCCAGCCTCTTGGCAAACAAAGGTTTTGTTGTGCTGGCACTGGCCTATTATGGCTACCAAGATTTACCCAAAAATCCCAAGAACTTGGATTTGGAATACTTTGAAGAGGCTGCAAACTTTCTGCAGAAACATCCAGAGGTTAGTCAATTCATTTTAGAAGAGATGTAATTAAAAAAGAAAAAAGCATCTGGAAATATGCAATATGTACAAACGTCTCGTTTTGCAGGTTCGAGGTCCTGGCATAGGCGTAATATCAATGTCCCATAGCGGTGCTTTGGCATTGTCAATGGCGTCATTTTTCTCAGGAATCACAGCAACCGTCTGTATCAATGGCTGCAGTGGCAATACCGTGATTCCATTACACTACAAAGACTCTGTTATACCGCCACTACGACCTGTCTTATGGAAGACAAGAATTCGCAGATCTTGGCTGATTGATATCCGCGATGTGACGCCAGATCCGACCTTGAAAAAAAATCGGGCGTCTTTAATTCCAATAGAGCGTGCCAACTGCCACTTCCTGTTTGCCGCTTCAGAAGACGACCGCAACTGGAACAGCGCTTTTTTCGCCAGGCAAGCCGCTGACATTTTGAAATGTCACGGCAAGGAATCCTTTCAGGTGGTTTCTTACCCGAAAGCTGGACACTTTTTGGAAGTTCCTCACATGCCATTTTGTCCGTCTTCCTTCCATGCTGCAGTGGGAAGAGCTGTGGCGTTTGGTGGGGAGCCAAAAGCCCACTCGGAGGCTCAGCTGGACTTGTGGGAGTGCGTCCAAGAGTTCTTCAAAAGACACTTGAACAACACGCGCGCATATTAGCAAGCATCAAGTGTGTCAGGCATCCAAGGCTCACATGTTTGACACCAAATGAGGTCAACACAACCATGATATTTAGACACTTTGTCCCTTTCATGCTCCCTGTAACCTGATAACATGACAAACTGTCCACTGTAGTAACCGCTGTCCCTGAAAGGGTTATTACAAAGGTTGAAATGGCAAAACACTCCATTTAATAGTAGTCAATTGTCTCCAAAATGATATTTCCTGTGATGACAGCACATAAACTCGATTTAAAGATTTGTTTGTGTTTTTTGCCTCTGTCCAAAATAAATACCTGGAATTGCTGTAAATTCACCAATCTTGTCGCACACCACAAAAATGTCTTTCGAGACGCCTGTTCGTCACTCTTAGCTAATCGGGTTGCAACGTGGTTGCAAAGGTTTGTGGCTGGAAGCGTTAGGTTCGAAACCAAACCGAACAATGTTTTCGGATCCCTGAAGTGCAGACAAACTGCGAAAACAAAAGGATCCGTTGACAGAAAAACGCACCGACAAAGTGCAAACAGAAATCCATGGTCACAAGGAGCCAGAAAAAAACAGGGGCAAAGAAAAAGCGCTTGCAAAAGGCACAGTAAAGTAACACAGAGAATACAAATGAAATGACAAGAGACCAATTTACACAAAAACAAGATAAAAAAGACGAAATAACACAAAATGAGGAACAACACTTGAGCATAAACAGCAAGCATTAATCCGACAGCATTTGACGGTCCTTAAATAGTGTACACGGCTTTCTTGGAAACAAGGAACGGGTGCGCCTGCTGGAGGGCGACGCCCTTCACTCCAGCTGGAGCTGGAACAAAAACAAAGACAGACATGACAGGAAGAAGATAACATAGATTTTATAAAGTCATTCTCCACCTCTGTGTGAACCCCGAAGAACATCAAGTAGAAAAGAGTAGGATATATGTGCCAAATGTTCTTTTGCGGCGAGCCTGCGAGTGTGAACTTGCGGTTTATGAGTTATGAGTGTTGGGTGCAGCGAAATACTTTGGGATTTAATTTGTGTGTTCACATGTCTCTCTTTGGCCGGTATTGTCAAGCTTCGACATGATGATTTGCACCTGCAAGGTAAAGAGGATTCCCTGTCATCCCAAATATTTCCAAATTAGGAAATCAATGTTGCCCGGGCAGTTAGCGGTTGAACGCAAATCTTGTCAGATGTCACTTGCAATGAGCATTCAAAGGCATGCTTTGTTGTCAACAATATCATCATTTGTTGTGGTACTCAATTATTGAAACAACATATACTGTATTGGAAATATTTGACAGAAGTGCAATGACATAACTGAATAAACTTTTTGGACACCATCAGCAATGTTTCTCACTTCATGTCCATTTTTTTTTTTTTTTTAATCTTGCCTCTCACCCAAAGTCAGCTGGGATAGTTTCTGTTTCACAGTAAAAATCTGGGAACAATGTGAGCTGCTGCAATGCTTTGATTGTAGTTTTAAGTTGTAATATCACCATTCACCATTAGATGGCAGACATAGTGTAATTTGTAACGTGACACCTCAGTCATGGAAAGGGTTACAGAGTTATTGCAGAAGCCACCCTCGGGCACTTGGGAGGACGGCATAACCGCTGATAATTATCGATAAAAGCAGCTTCCTTCGGAATGCTACTTTCACTTGATGAGGTCAACCAGTTCAGTAAAGTATCAATGCTGTGGAGGTTTTCCAGGTATGATTTTCTTTCGTGTTAACGGGGGTTGAGCGCATTTGCGAGGCTTTTATTGTGCGCTCACATTCACATTGGGCTACTCCTGTTCTTGTTCACTTTTAATATATTTTTTAAAATGTGGATATGGCACTCTGTAAGCTATGATAGTATTTATGTTGAGCAATCTATCATGACTATTAGATTTTATGGACAGTGCAGAGTTTCACTTTTGTGGCTTTCTAGGAGTTTTCATGTACAGTACTGTGCAAATGTCTCAAGAAACAAAACGGGTTTGGGTTTTTTTGTGTGTGTGTGTTTGATTTTTACAGGTTTTCATCTGACATTTGACACGTTGAAGAGGCGCAGTGCAAAGGCAAGGGAAGTTTTACATTTTTACGGAAATCTGGATAAGGGCTAAAACAGCAATTGCTTCGACGGACACCGTGACAACGCCAATCAAAATAAGCATTTGTGTGATCAAAAATTGCAATGGCGTCCTCTCAGATTCGCCTGAAAATCCTCCCCAGCGTCCGCTGTCTCTTTGACAAATTGGTTCAAGTCCAAGTCAAGGGTCTCGCTCCGCACAAACAGGTGGAATTAAGGTCGAGGTTGGTTGATGACAAAGGGGTGATTTTCAAAGCTTCCGCCCTCTACCAAGCGGATGAAAAAGGCCTGGTCGATGTGAGTAGCACCCCCTCTCTGGGAGGAAGTTACACTGGAGTGGAGCCCATGGGCTTATGGTGGTCCATGAGGCCAGACACCCCGCACAAAAAACTGGTGAAGAAAAACGTCCTGAGCCCAACTCTCGTGGAGATAGCAGTCCACAACGGAGCCACTGGCGAGAAGATAGCCTCTGAAATTAATGAGAGACAATATATGATGGAGGGCATGAAGAGAATTCCTGTGCGAGAGGGGCGTGTGCGAGGAGTCCTCTTTATACCACCAGGTTTGTGTCTTCATGTTGTTGATGTGACGAGCATCCCTTCCAAGTTAGCTGTCTTTGATTTCTCGCGCATATTTTCTTTTTGCAGGAGAGGGTCCGTTTCCAGGAATTGTAGATTTATATACTTTTGGCGGAGGACTCGGTGAGCAACGAGCCAGCCTCTTGGCAAACAAAGGTTTTGTCGTGCTGGCACTGGCCTATTATTGCTACCAAGATTTACCCAAATATCCCAACAACTTGGATTTGGAATACTTTGAAGAGGCTGTGAACTGTCTACTGGATCATCCAAAGGTTAGGAAATTCACGAGAGTATGAATAAAATGTCGACTTCCACTTAAAATTAATAAAAAAATAAAAATATGAGCTAAAATAGGGTTTGTAGAGGAAAACCTTTTTAACAAGCCTGCCTCACAGAGTTCTGGTGTGGTGACTGTTGGTCTTTGTGGAGTTTGCATGTCAAAACGTGCATGTTAAGGTTGACTGAAGATGAAATTGCCCGCCAGGTGTGAATGTGAGTGTAAATGGTTGTTTCTCTTTCTTTTTCCTGTTTGCACCCCCCCCCCCACCCTCGCCCTCGGCCATACCAAAATAGGTTAGTCTCCAGCTTACTCACAACCCTGATTGGTTTAGAAATTGGATGAAAAAAAAAAGTTTCAAAAGTCAGTGATCCTTTCACGTAACACTGGAGGGGGCAACACTCCACCAGATGCACATTGTACATATTTTACTTTATAGCATTTAGTGTATTTGATATATAATTGTGATAATCGATATTACTGCATCTCTTCTTTGCAGGTTGACGGTCCCGGGCTTGGTATCATATCAATGTCTCATAGTGGTGCTTTGGCCTTGTCAATGTCATCGTTTTTTACATGCATCAAAGCAACCGTGTGCATTAACGGCTGCAATGCAAATACCGTGTTTCCGTTACACTACAAAGACATTGTTATACCTCCACTTCCCCATTTTTTTGAGAATATTCGAATGGCAGAATCTGGGCTCATTGATATAATTGACGTCACGCCGGACCCAACCCTGGGAGAAAATCGAGCGTCTTTAATTCCGATCCAACGTGCCAACTGCCACTTCCTGTTTGCCGTGTCAGAAGACGACCACAACTGGAAGAGTTGTCTTTTTGCCGAGCAAGCCACTGAAATGTTGAAAAGTCACGGCAAGGATTCCTTTCAGGTGGTTTCTTATCCGAAAGCGGGTCACCTGTTGGAAGTTCCTCACATGCCATTTTGTCCGTCTTCTTTCCACGCTGCACTGGGAAGAGCTGTGGTGTTTGGTGGGCAGCCAAAAGCCCACTCGTGGGCTCAGCTGGACCTGTGGGAGAGAGTCCAAGAGTTCTTCAAGAGACACTTGAACAGCACCGATGCTTATTAGCAAGTTTGCAAGCATTACAGGCTGCTGTTATCGGAAGTCAACCTCAGACTTTTTAATTCGTTCTCATGGCCAGCCTGGAAATGTTGTTTCATTTTGGTGGTAAATATGACGATCGCATGGTAAATTGGTGTTACGAGTGACCAGGTTGTACACGACCTCTTGGCTGATATGGTCATATTTTTTGAGGGGGCTATTAATAGTCTGAACTGTAGTATCATTCCAATACATTGGTAAATGGTCTATGAGAAAAATATTCACATTACAGCCCTCCATACATCCAGTATGCTGTATTAAACTATCCAAAAAGCACAATACGCTTGTCTGTGTTTTCCTGCTGGATTTAGAGATTGCGCCTGAGGACATTGTTGAAGTGAGCACCAAGAATATACCATTCGTTGCAATTTCAAAAGCTGTCATTTTAGACATCATACTATCTGTGGCAGGCAAAAGCCCGAAAGTGAAAAAGTGATGAGGGGCCCCTGTCAGCCGCGGGCCCTGAGAAAATTTTCACTTTGTCAATTTTTAAATTTGAAGTATAAAGTGTTTTTTTTTTCCCCTCACAAGGGCTGCAAACCTCTGGCAATGCCCAGGTGGTAGGATTGGATCTTTGGCATTCATTAGCTCTGGATCATTGTGTCAGTAATCCTGTCCCCACCCTTAAAATAAACAGTTTTCTTCAAAAGAATATTCTTGTCGATCTAGGGCTCCAGGCTGTTTAATCACATTTGACTAAAAATAATATTTATCATGTTTCTGAGTGTGTGTGCGCATGTGAGTGTGTGCGTGCCCCTATTTCGGCCATTTGCACAAACCAAAGAGGAATGTCACAAGCTGCTGTGAGAGAACAAACGGAAGGTAACAGTATTTCTTTGAGCAGTCAACAAGTCAAGCTAAATCTTAGCCAACCACGAACAACACTGCAAGCGAGACTGCGCTCAACAGCTGGCAATTATATAGATGTGAGGACAAGCGCTATAAAAATTGAATATATGGATGGTAGGTTTCACACCGGTCTACACGGTGCATTGAGTGCTTACAGTGGCACGTCTGCGGCACAGTTGAGACGTCTGGGTTTGAATCTCAGCTCAGTTTTGCTTGTGTGCGTTTTCACTTACTACTACTGGAGGCTGTATGGCTTGCCCGCCCCCATTCCAAAACCCTGCAAAAAGATTATCATCCATGTGAGTTGGACTGGTTGTTCCTTTATGTGCCATGTGACTGACTGGTGACCAATCCAAGGTTTAAGGTC